AAGCCTCTCCATATGAGTTGGAAGTTCGTAAATTTTATTCTGAGACTACTTGCGCGCGCCCCGCGCCGCACCGCCCCCGCCACCCCCACGCCTGCCACCGACCCCGCCGCGCCCTAGCCGCCGCCGCCCGTCGCCGCCGCTGCCGCAGGCTGCCCTCTCTCCTCCGTCTTGTGCCTCGACGCAGGGGGCCTCGCCCCGCCCCCGCCCGGCCCCTCCCCCCGCCAACTGTCCACGCCCCGCGGGGCCACCCGCCCCCAACCAGAGCGCGGCGGCCGCCCCCGCCAGCGACTTGTGCTCCAGCCCCAACTCGTTCCTCCTCCTCCTCCCACCACACACACGTCGGGGCGGCGCCCGTGACACGCATGCGTCAAGAAACGCGACGTCGGCCCAACCCGGCGAAGAATGACGTTTCCCGAATGGTACAGATGTCTCAGAATAAAATTTACGGAACTTCCAACTCATATGCGAGCAGGCTTTTGTCACTATGCACATGAACATTTATGTAAATCTTGCAAAGCGAATTTAACATGTGACGTTCTTCTGGTTGAGTAAAGGACCAATTTTCCCCCATGGCGTGTGGATATCACGTTCTGTTGCCAGTCAAACAGTGTACCGCTAGGTAGCAAAAAGGGGCCCACATTCTAAGGGAACAATGCGTATCTACAATAGATGCTTCATCGTTCGTCTCTGTTAGAGACATTCCTCCACCCAGCCACTCAGTAACCATTCCGAGCGATAAACAAAAATCCGTACACTACAAAACCAGTAAGAAAGCATCAGTAGCCAAAACATAAGTACACTATCTCTGCGCGATATTCTGCCTCTAGGCCACATATGCGTAGTGCTACTACACTCCCTCATCCCAATGCTATCATCCACTTGCCTGCTCTAGCCTGAGGCTTAAGTGCGAGATAATAAAATGGTCAGTTCACACCAGCGTAAATTTCGAACTGAGTTGAACTTTTAGCACAGTGAGAGAGATACAAGAAAATATAATCATTAACCAGAGTATACATAACCAATGTTTGACCAAAACCCCGCTGATACTTGCAAGCCATAACTAACTATTAGCGCGAAATTTGTGGCCGGTGTAAATTAGAGTACTAAAACAGATAGACCTTTAGAACTCTGAGGAAATTGCATCCGGATATGTAACCTTACATTCTTTCAATCCTTATACGATCGGAAATAGCTCACTAGACGCGTCCAGAACTGAATACATTCTACACAAGAATTTATTTTAATATAGACCGAGCCCATACCCACAATGTTTATAAATATATTGTTTTGGTTCCCAAGAAAGAGATATCTGCGAGCTAAGACAAGAAAGCATGAAGATAATAAATAGTAATCGAGAGATATTACCACTATCCAAATAAGCAATAATACAAACTGACCTACAACTCCTATTACCAAACGTCTCCGCCTTGTTATGTGCTCCCTATATCTATACGTGGTCAAAAATTCATGAACAATTAGTACAAACTGCAACAATATGACAAGTCATCATAAAGCCCAATAACCCAAACTATAAAAATCCCACGAATTTGATCAACTCGTGCCAATAAAAAATCCCCACAAAGGCCTCCTTTTTTGTGTGACACACAACATTATGCAGGAAAACATCCTTGCGAAAAAGTGGCTATTCGAAGCATCGTACTAAGTAACAGAACGATAATCTAAATACTAGAGACATATTATGATGCCTTTAGAAGATTTTTATAATCTTATAATAACAAACCACATATACAATTATAAATACTATTATTCTCCCACTAACTTTCTTTAATTTGATTAATCTTAAATTAAATATGATATCTAGCCCATATAGCAAACATAAAATATAAAGCATATACTCGTTTACATCACTTAATCAAAATACTCAATAACCACACTAGATTTATTCACAAGAGGTAAGATCAATTGATATTTATTTTTATCGATTCCAAATCACAGATAAGTATACCTACATAAAACCAATCTGTACTTTCATAATGTCCTATGAACATATACTAGCTTTGACACCAAGAGAATCAGACAACAATCAACGTAATGGGATAAAATGGCAAATTTTGCCGATCCGTAAATCGATCATAAATATAAGCTCACCGTTAACTGCAAACTATCATCAGACCTAGTCAAAATTGACCATGCATTTGAACCTCATCTTTAAAAGCACAGAAATACCTAGGTACGCGACCAAACAAGTGTAGGGACATTAGCCTAATCTTAAAACCTATTCCGATGCTACTTAAAATACCACGGAATCTTCATTCCTACTAGAAACAACTTCGCAATCGAATTTCAATCTACTCAAAATTTCAATGTTCTAATCACAGACGACCAAAAAGATCGTTACTCTAGATACAAATATGAAAACCCACTTAATAAAAAAGAAAATATAACACATACACCTTAATTATACAAATATAAACTTAACTGTATACTGAGTGCACGACAATAACGACAGACGCGTCATTAAGAAGTCACTGATGTGAAGCTGTTTTATGGCATTCTTGTTCGAACACACAATAAAGTTTGTATTACAATGCGCTCACCCGTACACGATCATGAGTTATCAAAAGACGAGTTATCTAGTACCGCGGTAATTAGTAATACACGAAATAAAATGTAATCAGTCAATATCTAGATAACAGTGCACAATATATAAATTCACACACTCCTAATCGATCTAACAATTACCAGTAGTCATTAAACATATATACACCCGTAACCAACATTCCAAATTCACCATCGTAACAAAATCAATCAAATATGATAAGCACGATGATCTAAAAATTAACCTCAACACACAACAAACCCGCGACAACACTTTCACGAAATTTGATATACTCTAATCAAAAATTTATGTTAATTCATCTAGATTAATGATTTCAAGAGACATGACAGTAACCTATAACAACTCTAATCGTAATCATTGTTACTATTAATAAAATTATAATGAGATCTCAACACTATCAATGCATTAATTTGTCGTTGAACCAAATCGAGCCAAATTAACATTATACCACTAATTTCCACTCTTAAACCGATCCTATTTCGAACTCGAATCACATATTAACACGCGCTCTACGACGATAATTAACCCTCATTAACTTAAATCATAAAAATATACACAATACTGCCAGAAAAAAGCTGTGAGTTAATTTACTATTATGAACAAAGGAGTATTCTCCAACAAATAATATCTGAGAATTATTCTAGTGCATAGCTATGCTTCACTCGAGAAAGAACCTAAAGAAATCAAAATAGCGTATATAACGGAACGCACCTCATATCCCACACACATTCTATTATCCATTACATGTAGTCAGAACATAACGAAAAACATCTTACTGTAATTATAGAGAAAAGATCGTCTCTACCGTCTATGAGTATTTATTTTTCATTATTATTCTAGTGTACACCTGATATTGATAAATATATTTCACACAAGTGTTATAACGGCAAGTAATATAGTTCTTTTACCATATACATCGCTTTTGGCTCGATTTACATGTATAGATCCTATCTGCTCGATGTACATACACGCGATTACTACATATTTTCTATATAGAATATTATTCAGTAAAACTATCATAACCTTAGTGTTAATTCGTATATTTTTGGGACT